CCACCCCCCTTGCCCCCGCATCCCGGTCCACATGCCTATATTCAACACATAAAAAGTGATCTGCTGTAGCCTAGCAACAATGAGGTAATTACCATGAAAGACTAGTTGCTGGCATGCCATGTAGCGTGTGATGGAAACAGCTGATCTGCTCGGCACTAAGGGGGAAGCAGAAGATGTTCCTCAGCATGTTACAGCAGATGCTTACCGGAGCCCTGATTATCCCATTCAGCAAACTATTGATTGATCTGTTTACTGATGGTGGACACAAAATACCTTCTTTGGTGTAAAGTGCTCTTTTTTCTATTCTTTCTGTAGCTTTTTTTTAGTATTTTACATTTGGTGTAAGCACTCATGATTAGGAAGAAGATTATATTTATTGTTTAAAGAATTGTCTTATGTGCATTACTTTAGAGATAACTTTTTAGTTGATGTAACATACTCTATTTGAAATATTATTATTTAAGAATGGAAACATGAAAATGTGCTTTCCTTTTTTTTCATTTATCATTAATATTTAATATTATTGAAAAAATGTTTAATGCATGTACAATCTAGTTAGATATGTAAATTAATTGACAATAGAATGATTATTTATCAAACAAACTGTAGCTATTACCTAACAGATACTACATAGTTGTCTTAAGAAATCACATCTGTTTCTGTATGTTTACATGGAAAGTTAAGAATCACACTGCAGCAGATTTTTGCATATCCGAGGCGCATTCTTTATCATTTTGACACAATGTGAAACCAAATAAATGCGCCAACGCTCTTTAGTAACATACGCAGATTGTGCACAACGCTGAGCAACACAACCACATTATCTATGTCAAATTTGGACTTGGTACAATTTCCGCTGAATCAAAGCTTTTTTTCTTTTTCAATTTAAACATGGGCTACATGTTAGTCTTGTGACTGTTGCACGATGTCTTGCTTCTTTTTCAGCGTCTCGCGCAAGTGCGGCATGTTTTTAATTCACTGTGTTAAAACATGTTAAAATATGTTTAACGGTTACAAATTTCTCCAGACTCAGTGTTATTTTCCATTCCGCTTTTTGTGTTAACAACCCATTATTATTTCTTTCTGACTGGAATGCAGGCCTTTAAAGTGCTTGTAAACATACTGACAAGTCCTGTAAACAGCAATAAATCAGCAAATTTAGACGAAGAAAAAAAAGATACAAAAAAGCAAATTGCTATTTGTCTCATCTTTTACGTTGGGGATAATGGTCAACTAGCATTAGTGTAGTTTGAAACCTGAACATTTCTGGTACAAATAACAGAATGTTAATGTGAATAATAGTTTTTCCAGGAAAAAAATACTGAATTTTCCAGTATTTTTCCTATACATTTGACCACCAGTGTGTTTCCACACATTGTAAATAAACCCAGATTATCTTTATTGATTGTTATGCTTTTTAAAGTCTACTTTGCAGTTTTTGCCTAATTATGAATTTAGTAGTTCTAGAGTTACTGTTTTTATTCGGCACCAGTAGTATGCTGTTGTATTTGTGTGGTCTCCTCAGTACTCCAACAACTACATATATTTTTATTTGCAAGGATAAACAATACTTAAAATATGCTGTAGTGGTACTGAGAAAAATCTCTCTGTTTCCAGCATCAATATTACTTTATGCTATCTCATTCCTCTTGACCTAAAAATCTTTCTCTCAGGAATTACAAAAATGCTATATTTTCCCCAAAAGTCAGTAGTGTTTGTGGCCTATATAGACCAGCATTTGTTTGTGTGAGAAAACAAGAGTTACAAATGTTTTGTTCTCTATCCATAGGTGTGGAGGCCAGAAGAGGTGGCACATTTGAAGGGACGCTCCAAAGAGAACTGTACAAAAATGGGGCAATGCAGATCAAGCTTCTCTCCTTCCATTTGAGACAACAACGAAAGGCAACCACGAGGACGGACGACAGCTCAGCCGGAGGAGGCGGAGGTGGAGGAGGGAGTGGAGGAAGCAGGGGTAAAGGAGGAGTTGAAGGAGGAGGTGTGCGATTTGAGCAGAAAAAGGTATGGCCAACGGAAATGCAAGCAACGATGGGCCTGGGAACCCCTTGGCGGCCGTGGTGTCCACTACAGGTGGCGTGATGGGTGGAGCACCTTCTTCGGCCGTGTCTACCTATGTGAAACTTGTCCTTCTGGGGCTGATCATCTGCATCAGCCTGGTGGGCAACTTAGTGGTATCCCTGTTAGTGTTAAGGGACAGAGCCCTACACAAGGCACCCTACTACTTTCTTCTGGACCTCTGCCTCGCCGACACCATCCGCTCTGCGGTCTGCTTTCCCTTTGTCCTGGTGTCCATCAAGAACGGCTCGGCCTGGACTTACAGTGTGCTCAGCTGCAAGGTGGTGGCCTTCGTGGCCGTCCTTTTTTGCTTCCATGCTGCCTTCATGCTGTTCTGCATTAGTGTCACACGCTACATGGCCATCGCCCACCACCGCTTCTACTCCAAGCGAATGACCTTCTGGACCTGCGTTGCGGTGGTATGTATGGTCTGGACGTTGTCAGTCGCCATGGCATTCCCACCCGTCTTTGACGTTGGCACCTACAAGTTTATCCGCGAGGAGGACCAGTGCATCTTTGAACATCGCTACTTCAAGGCCAATGACACTCTAGGCTTCATGCTGATGCTGGCTGTGCTAATCCTGGCTACACACGTGGTCTACATGAAGCTCCTGCTGTTCGAATACAAGCACCGAAAGATGAAGCCGGTCCAGATGGTTCCAGCCATCAGCCAAAACTGGACCTTTCACGGACCTGGGGCCACAGGACAGGCGGCCGCAAACTGGATAGCAGGGTTCGGCCGTGGCCCAATGCCTCCCACTTTATTGGGCATCAGGCAGAACTTGCACAACCAGAACAGACGCCTGCTAGGCATGGAGGAGTTTAAGGCCGAGAAGCAGCTTGGCAGGATGTTCTATGTCATCACCTTGTTCTTTCTGGTGCTCTGGTCCCCGTACATTGTGGCCTGTTACTGGCGGGTCTTTGTGAAGGCGTGCACCATCCCACACCGGTATCTTTCCACCACAGTGTGGATGAGTTTCGCCCAAGCGGGCGTGAACCCCATCATCTGCTTTTTCCTCAACAAGGACCTGAAGAAGGGCCTTCTGGCCCACCTGCCTCCCTGCTGTAGAACTCCACCTCAACTACCCCGTGAGCCTTACTGTGTCATGTGAAGATGAGTGTTCATTCATAATGTTTTTTTTTCTCTTTCTCTCTTCTGGATGGTCGGAGAGTGGACAGCTAGGGGGAGGGAATAAGAAGTCTTTAAAGATGGAGACGTGGATGAACTTTAAGAGCTGTTGTGGCCTTTGATTCAGTTTTAAGATGCTTTAAAAGGGTGGATGTCACGGAATAAGCATCTACTGTCACCTTAATGATTTTAAGGGGGAAATGGGCTCTACTCTAATGTGTGGTTTGCTTAAATCAACTCTGAACAGGTTTGAGGAACCGTATGTTTTGCATTAGGGTGGTACAAATCAACCAAACTGGTCTATTTTATGGTGAATGTATGAAGGCTATATCAAAAGGCTTCTCATGATCGATTTCAACAAACATTACCATTTGATTTGGCTCAGTATCTGTATCCCTTTACCAGGATCCTGAGGGCCTTGAATCAAAGATTTACAAAAAATATTGTTCATGCCTTGTGAACAGCTGCACTCCTGGCAGAGTAATTTATATTATTTGAACTGCTGATTCAAAAATACTCTATGTGCATGTGTATTACCTTATCTTTAATGCGAAAAACTTGAGATTAAACTATTTTTAAGAACGAGTGCCACGCATAAGCCTCTAGGAATGAATGAGGCTGACAAAAAAAAGAGTTCCTAAAATTTATGCTAATTGGTTGGGCTGAATCCTTCCCGTGGCTCCATCAGGCAGGAATTAAGATGCTCATAAAACAGTGTGTATTTAAAAGCAACTTCCGGAACAAATAATGTTTTTCCTCCCAAGTTGATTCAAAGGGATTGTAGTTGAAAGGAGCTGAATGAAAATATGAATCTTTGTGAAATATGGCCTATTCAGGTTTCCCTGAGTAACATTTTCGTTGTAATTTATTGTTTTTTATTTGTCTCTTTATCTCTCTCAACTCTGTTTACTCATTAATTTATCAAATATTTTCTAGCATTGCACAAAATATAATGCCCTTATAATTTCCATAATGGATCTGAATATATGACCAGTCTTACAATAATCAGACCAAGAAAATGTGAAGTATTTTACTGTAAGTGGTCTCATTTTGTGAAGAGACAGTTCAGGATTGAGTGAAAATACTGATCTGTTAATGGTGTGTTACGGTTAAACCAACCGATCGTTTGTCCTTCCAAACAATTGCACAGAAGGTGCTGTAGAGGTGAAGTTACTAGTCTTTTGCATCTTGAATTACTTGAATGAAAGTTTACTAGCCTATTGGATCTAGACAAAATCAAAATGTTTTTAATATGTGATTTTCATACATGTATCTTGGACGTTAATTAATTTAGCCTTTTACATTTTCAATCATATGTCAGTGAAAGGTAGGTTGCATTAGAGGTATTTTAGTTTACTGTGTTACATACTAACACATGATATGTGGATTCCTGAAAAGAAGAAGTTGGTCAGGTAGTAAGGAGGAACCTAAAGTTTAATGTTTGTGCTGGATCAGTCTGACAGTGTGATTCGGCCTCATGTTTAGCAGAAATCAAACAAAAATCTAATTTTAATCTTGTAATAAAAATATGAATGTGTTTGAGATAAGGGGAAAAAAAGTGTAAGCTGGTAATGGAATGTATTCCATTTCATTAGGAGCTAACAAGTGGGTGAACTAAATTCCGGAATCCGTTCGATGTCAAATGAATTTCCCTTAATATTTTGCACACAACTCAAGAAATCATTGATCAGTCACATGATTTCTCTGGCATATTTTGACTTGAATCAGAATGCTGACCAATGCAGACAGGACAGATTGCAATATTTCTGTGAATGTTCAATGAGATCTCTCTGCAGGTTAGGCATGGAATTGGTAGGAGTGATCAGACTTTCTTTTTCTAAAACCTGTCATTGCTAGAACACAGAAAAACAGCAGAAAAACATCTATGATGAACAGAAGAAGAGGAAGAATTATTTCTGTTATCTGCATTTTATGCCTTACTCCATTACCTAGGTTTAATGTTACCAATGCAAGAATGATCTGAAAGCTCTATGCTTATGTAGACACCAATAAATCATACAAAAACATATGCTGGGGAAAACACAACACTGTGTATTTGTGGATTATCAGAGGACACATCTTGCTGCCCTTCACAAGCCTACAGGTTGCGGGTAAGAAGACAGCTGCATCGGCTGTGTTATTGAATTTGTGAACTGAGACGCGGGAGTGTACAATTTTGCTCTGTTCTCTGGAGAGACTTGAATTTGTGGAAAAAAGAAAAAAAAAAACACGACACAGAGAGACACACACTGATTTTCCGTGGAATTAAAAGGAACTTCTTGGATTCTTAAGGATTTCTTTGAGACTTTTTTTCTTCTTCTTGTCCTTGGGCGGGATCGGGGTGGGGGACAGTATGTGAATGACCGTTTGGGCTATTGTTGTATTCACCTGTGAATAGGAAATCGCTTGGGTCGGTGTTGGGGTTGGGTGAAAAGAATGTGATTTTGTAAAGAGCAAAAATGCCTGGTAGAACATTTTTAGTTGCTTCAGGCATCTTATCTTTTGTAAAATAACTGTGAACCTCTGTGTAATTTCATGTGTATTATATGGACAACGCACTAACTTCAAGTGGGGGGCGGAGTGAAGGGTGGGGCCCTTCATCATCATCTTTTTATCACGCATGTGTGTGTGAGTGTTTACGCTGAGTACGAGTGTGTGGACGGAACTGGGTACTCATGAGGAACAAAGCAAAGGTGAAAGGTCAGACATACAGCCTCTGATAGGAACCACTCCTGTAGTTGATCCACTAAAACTTCACATTTTCAATGCGACAACACAACTGTAAAGATTACGAAGAGCTGAGCCTTAAATAAAGGTGGGGTAAGCGATTTCTGGTAGCCAATGTTGACATTTGAAATCACCATAACAAACACGCCCCTACTCCAAAAGAATCTCACCCCTATTTTGATAGCTCCGCCCCACACATGCGTACGCAACCCAGGCAACGATTAGTTCTGTGAAACAAAGCAAAACCACAAAACCAATGTTACACCGTGTCTACACCTATAGAACTCTAAATCAGTGATGCTGTTCTACTCTGGATACGGCGTGGCGCGGCACGACACGACAAATCCCCGACAGAAAACTGCTGCTGCGTTCTATTTATGACGTATTGACACAAATTTCAAATGATTTTCAACGGTCGCTTTGTCGCGTCCAGTGTACTAGACAGACTTTAGCTGTTGCGGCGCAGCCTCTCCTCCACATCATGAGTATACATGTCCCTTACTGCTGATTGGCTACAAGTTTGTTTTGCTATTCTGCCCGAATCAGTTTTCTACAGTGTTTTTGAAAAAATCGCTTACCCCACCTTTAAATAAGACATAATGTTGATTCAAATCAACAGGGAATATAGATCATAACCAACACTCAAAAAGGAATACATTTTGTTTACCACATTTTGACACCTACATTAAAACAGACATCAGTCATTGTTTGGCAATTCCAGTGTTACATTGATTGTTGAATATAAATGAATAATTTTTGTTTAAAAAAAAAAAGAATTAGAAATATATGTGGCTAATGAATGTTGATATTCAAGTTGCTCCTTGGATTTTAAACACCAATCGACCATTTTAGTGTTAACAATTTAGCTAATCAATAATTTTTTATCTGCAATTCTGGGGTCTTCCCAGACCCCCAACCTCCCCAAATTTTATAAAACTACAGCAAAACGTTTGTGCACAAAGAATTGCATACTTTTAGTTAAACAAATTAAATTGCATAAAGAAAGAACCCCAAATGTATTAAGGTGAAGCCATGACATCCATTTTGAAAAGATGTTACAGACAAAGATGAGTTTGAGTTTAATTATTATTATTAATGAGGAAGAAACGTGAGTCAGCTTTCAGATATCTTGATCTGTAAATCAACAGGACTTTTTTTTTTCAACATGACAATAAAAGTTTACTTTTGTTGCATTTTTGAGTAATGTTGTGTGACCTTTACAAAGTGCAGTAAGAAACTTAGTTCAGGACTGAGTTAGCAATATTTTTAACTGAGTAGAGTCTTCATTATTTTGTCAACATGTCTGTATCCTGAATTTTGACATTTCGCTGACACCTCAGGTTCACACGCTTGGATTATGAGTTGACCTTTGACCTTAATCTGCCTGATACTTATGGTTGATGGTCCACACTGCAGAAGGACCAGAGTGAGTCAGTAAAATGTGCCAGAGTAACACTGAACTAAACTGGACAGACATTTCCCCTTGATAGACCAACAATTTAGATAAACTTCACATCAGATTTTCAAGTGAAAACAAATATGTTCATTCAGATCCTCACACTGTACCTCTAATCTTTCCAATTACAGAATATTTGCATGAGCATCTAATAACATCATATTGTAGCAGGCTGGTTTGATGTCTCTACAGCCACCTCAATAATATTTTAATGGAGACATATTATGCCCCTTTTTACAATATGTAATACAAGTCTCTGGTGTCCCCAGAATGTGTCTGTGAAGTTTCAGCTCAAAATACTCCACAGATCATTTATTATATCATTTTGAAAATGCCTATTTTGAGTGGAAGCAGAAACAAGCTGTTTTTCGTGCCTGGCTCTTTAAATGCAAATGAGCTGCTGCTCCACGCCCCCTTTTCCAGAATAGAGCTGCACCATTACAACTCGGACCTGCTAAAAAGGAGCGAAATCAGACGGGCTCGTTTTCTCAGAAGCTTGCAGAAAAAGGCTTACCAAAACAAAGTTACTGGGTTAATCTTTTTCACGTTTCCTTGGTTGGTAGATGCACCGGGGACCTGATTATAGCACTTAAAACCTGGAAAAGCCAGATTTTCATGATATGTAACTTCTAATCTAAAGTTGACAGAGAGGTTCCACAGGAGTTCAACTGTGAAGTGATGAGCAGCATGCGGTGGATGAACATTAGTCCACTCGGCGTGAGATTGGCCATGGTTAGATGCTCAGACCATATGTGTGAGGTCAACTGATTGTTTGCCAGTCTGCACTTAGTGAGGTTTGATCCACAGCAAATCCAATAAAGGCAACCACTCGCTCTCAGACTCATAGACTGAAAGAGGAGAATATCATAAGAGTTTATTTAGGTTCTACAGAGGAGAAGACTGCTGTGAAAAAGAGATGGATATATAAATGAATGGAATGATAGCAGGAAGGAAGACTTCAACAACAGAGAGAGAGAGGGGGACAAGAAAAAGCGCTGGCCTGGAGGAATCTCACCTCCTCATGGGAGGTTAAAGCTGAGCTGACTGTCTCTCTCTGGCCCAAGCTGGGGATTCGGGCCACAGATCAGGCGAGGCTAGATGACTCTATCTGTAAGATTCTACTGCAGCTTCTCCCATATTACTACACATGTGCCACTTATTGCTGTTTTGTCTCGTAGCTTTTTAGCTATATACACTGTATATTACATGGATTAAGACAGCAGCCTTGTGTGTCTACAGTTCACATTTATGGAACAATCTGATGGAAAATCCCACTCATGAAATCCTTCAGTAACTTTAAAAGAAACTGAAGTACAATCTGTTTTGACTTACATTTACATTTACATTTAGTCATTTAGCAGACACTTTTATCCAAAGCGACTTACAAATGAGGACAATAAAAGCAGTCAAAACTAACAAAAGAGCAACAATATATAAGTGCAAATGACAAGTCTCGGTTAGCCTAACGCAGTACGCGTAGCAAGGTGTATACAGTGTTGGGGGTAACGCATTACAAGTACCGCGAGTTACGTAATCAGAAAATTACGTATCAGATTACTTTTTTACAAAGTAACTAGTAAAGTAACGCATTACTTTTTAATTTACAAGAGAATATATATATTCAGATTTGATATTTCTAATAACAACAATTTCTAATAAGAACCCTCACATGGTTATCTTTGTAATTTTCACAAACTTTAGACCTTCTGAGGATTTTTGTTGTGTGTAACTCCCTTGTTGCATGCAATTTCATCTGTAAAAATTTGGTTTACATTAAACCAAAGGTGTTATGAATACAATAGCACCATCTGGTGGCAAATGTAGATATTTTCAAATACCGGTAAGCAACATTCTTGAAGCGAGAATACATATTACTCCACAGTCCACACACACACTATCAAATGTAATATTTTATTTGCTTAATAAAACAAGATAAAAACAGGCATAATCAATGTGGGGAAACGTTTTATTAAAACAGTGCTGAAAATGGATCAAATTAATGATTAACTGAATTAATAAAAGCCACCGAACATCACAAATAAAAAGGTTGAAATCTATTTAAAGTATACACACACACACACACAAATTAAAGAATAAATAAACATTTACAAAAATACATTTCATGAAATGTGTAAAGAACTTGACATGTAGTCATAGTACACCTGCTTGTGTGTGAGCTGGATTAAAACAAATATTTCCGGCAGTTCTTTACTCCACATTTCCAGCCCGACTGAAGTCTGAGTCCATTTTTGAACTCTCTGCATCTATTGGATCAACTGCAGCAAAAATTAGTAGTACTCATTAGGCATTTACAACAAATGTTAGTATATAATATCTTGTATGTTAATATATAAGATATAGTTTTTTTTTTTGTAATTTCCTTTAAATAGTCTCTCTCCCAAAAATGTAAGAAAAAGCCAAATAAAAGACAAATTTCCTGCCAGTCATCTTGTAGTCAAAGGTGAGCTCTTCTCCTGCTTTGATCCCTCGTTTAGCAAAGAATGCGGTTCTGGGAAGTCGTTCATTTAAGTTGTCAATTAAAACATTATAGACCTGCAAGTTTGGATCACACTGGGAAAACAATGGTAAAGATTTATTAATTTCATGCTTTGTGAAGTTTTACTGTTATAATGTTAATAGATTTATATTTGTATAGATTTAATTTATTTAAAATAGACAGGATAAGTAACTGTTTTCTGTTTAATAGATTTTAATTTATTCCTGTGATGGCAAAGCTGAATTTTCAGCAGCCACTCCCCAGAATTTTCAGTGTCACATGATCCTTCAGATATCATGATTTGGTGCTCAAGAAACATTTCTTATTATTACCAATGCTGAGAACAGTTGTGCTGCTTAATATTTTTTGTGAAAACTGGAACAGAACTTATGTTGTAACAGTGTCTTTGTCACTTTTGATCAATTTAATAAATATTTAAAAAACTGGCCCCAAAGGGGTCATTTTTAAAAAATATAGGTTTTATTTGTTTTCTACTGAATGTTTTTAAATATCCCAAAAAATATCTATATATGAATACTGGTTACTATAATGCCAGAATTTGTTAACTATTAACATCAAGAAAACACATATTCATGCAACATACCTTTTATAAATAAATATCACTTTACAAGAATCTGTTTCAAATTACTTGATAGAGAGCCCAGATGATGTGTACAGCTAGTTAGTGCTCACGCTGTGGTTGACAAAGTGAGAGATGTTTCCGTAACGAGCTGCTTCGATGGTGTGGACATCATCCACATAGTCCAGATCAAACAGGTAGGTGATGCCCTGCTTATCGTACACCACACGTACACCACAAGCAGAGTCTTCTCAGAATTGGTGAAAGAGTATGGGGCATTTAAGATTTTTGAGAGGCTCCCATGTGTTTTCTGTTTCTGCGTAGCCCTTCCACTTCACCAGGAAGAACTCTAGACCCTGAACAGGCATATTTTAAGGTTACAGTGATTTGAATCATATAAATTGGGAATATGATATGAATAAGGAGGAACAGTTGGAGCTACTAATGACTAGAACACAATTGTACATGCAACGCAAAATTAATAACTCACCTTGTGTTTTTGTAGTTACACAGATACTCCACTTCGTAGTCATTAAAGTTGTTCTTTGACACACTGAGCTGCTTGCAAACAAGTCTTTCTCTGCGGCACAGAGCCTGGAGGTACTCCCATGAAAGTTTACAGGACACCCTGCAATCTTAAGCCATATGTAAGGGGCTTCATAAAGTCTATTCCTTAAAGGGATAGTTCACCCAAAAATGCAAATTAGCCCATGATTTACTTACCCTCAAGGCACAAGTGTACGTATATGACTTTCTTCTTTCAGACGAATCCAATCGGAGTTACATTAAAAATTGTCCTGGCTCTTCCAAGCTTTATAATGGAAGTGGGCGGGTGTTTCTGTTCAACAGTTCAAAAGAAGTCCAATAAAGTGCATCCATCCATAATAATAAAAAAAAGTGCCTCACACGGCTCCGGGTGGTGAATAAAGACCTCCAGCAAAAGAATATACCTTTCGAATCTTGCGCCATGTTCGTCTAGACCAGTGATGGGCAAACTTGGCCCTTCCAGGCCACTTTCCTGCAGAGATTTGATCCAACCCTGATAAAACGTACCTGCCTGCAGCTTTCTAGTAGTCTTGAAGACAATGATTAGCTAGTTCAGGTGTGTTTGATTAGAGTTGGAGCTAAACTCTGAAGGAAAGTGACCTGGAAGGGCCATGCGTTAAAATAACGCCACACGCCACTTAAGATGCAGATTTATTTGCTCATCTACATGAACACACCTCTCATGGCTATGAGGACTCTATGGCAAGTCGGAGCATCCAGTTTGCAAGAGCACGAAGATGGCAAGGACAGCCCTTACAATTCTAGATATAGGGGGAAAATGTCCCTGAATGAGCTTTTGTCTCATAAAGTTATCACACGAGCCACGAATGAGTGCACATTTGGATATTATTTTATACAACAGTTAATTTAATAAGAAATTAATATTATTGTTTTATTATTATTATTATTATATTATATTTTGAGTATCATTTCAGTTAAAAAAATAGTTGGGGATAGTTTCACAAAAACTGAAATTCTGTTTATTTACATTTACATTTACTCACCCCGATGTTGTTTCAAACCTTATGTCTTTATTGCTTTTGAGGAACATAGGAAGATATTTTGAAGAATGCTGGTAACCAAACTGTTTTAGTCTGTAAATATATGTCGATTCAGATGCAGCTTCTGAAAAAAAAAGTATAGCAGGTGTAATTCTAAATATTTATTTTTAAAGTTACATTTTGTTTGCTTTTTCTCATTCTTTGCTTTTCTCATTTAACACAATTAGGCTATATGACTTTAAAATATCTTTTGACGGTACTTTTTTTTTTCCTTTTTAAAAACATAAACTGAAATGATAGTCAGTGCTCGAATTTAAGGGGGGCTGGGGGGATCCGGGACCCCCCATAAGAAGTAAAAAAAAAAAAAAAAAAAGACTTACAATCGTTTGGTTTGATATCTACACCTTTCATCATGGTGTGTTAAATGTCTTACCTTTAAAGAACTCAGATTGACAGAGTGACCCACCTCCCATGAAAGTGCAGTTGGCCGCCTTCCCCATTGTCCAGTGAAATCAGAAAGACACACGAAACACAAGAATTATGAGGAGCCCTTAGGTGTCAGGATCAAAATAAGTTAATACCCACTTATCTGTTATCGGTTTAGGTGCAATCACTGTTGCTTAGATAGGCAACTGTGTATAAATAGTTATGCCAAATCTATACCAAGTTGGCTTCCTATTGCCTAAGCGATATATTTCTGAGCTCACTTTTTAATGATTGACTTAGTCACCATGGAATCAAAATTGAAAATTCTTATTTTTTAATGGAATACTGTAGTGTTTATTATAAATAATTTATCCGTGCATTTCATTATTTTTTTTTAAATTCATGTGCCCTCCTAATCTTTAATCAAAAACGGTAACCTCCCCTCCCCCTCAAAACGACTCATCTTCTCTTCCGGCCACGAGCTATGGCGCAAGGGTGGAGCTAGTGACGTGAGGGGTAAACGCTGGGATAAAGGACAGGGGAAAAGCTGAAGCTGATGCTTCACTTTATAGCACTGACACCAGTCATGAGGGAGTACGTTACCCCTAAACATTGAAAAGATATTAGGATAAGACAACATTACTCTTAGGACATCACAAACTAATTTTTTTTCATGAATATGACTTAACCTGATGGAGGACCCACTCAGTCATTCAGGGAGTCTCTCTCTCTCTCTCTCTGCTGTTTAGGCATGTTTTGTGCCGTTGATCGTCGTCGTCATCCTTAATAAATAAAACATTTATTCATGCTTGGGTGTCGGCTGTGAATCCAGTGGAGAGAAATCCCCCACTAACTGCAAACTGGCATTCAGATCTGCCTCCATTTTGTTAGCAACGCCCCAGCTTCCAACGATCCAATCAATTCCCGAAGGACGAGATATTCTTTATAAAAGTTAAGAGTCAACCTACCTAAAACGGCTTGTTCTAACACGCCCCCACATATCTATATCACTATGTGGAAATATTAGCTTAATGCCGCCCAAATGTGCATGCAAAGAAAGAAGGCCTGGTTCCAGGAACAGCAGTCGTGTTGATGCAGCCATGTCAGGGAGACGGTGTGTGTTTCAGTG